AAATGTAACTGTATTTGAAAATAGGGTCTTTAGGAGGTAATTAAGGTTAATGAAGCCAAAGGTGGGGCCCTGATCCAACAGGATTGGTGTCCTCATAAGAAGAGGAAGAGAGACCAGAGCTCTCTCTTTCCACTATGAGAGGATGCATGAGAAGGTGGCGGTCTGCAAGCCAGGAAAGGAGCTCTCCACAGAGACCAAACCCTACTGGACCTTAATCTTGGACTTTCTAGCCTCCAGAACTGTGAAAAAATAAATATCATTGTTTAAGCCATGAAGTCTGTGGTATTTTGTTACTGCAGCCTGAGCTGCCTAAGACACAGGTCAAAGACAGCAGCCTTGACAGAGCGCTCTAAACTTTCGGTGTTTTAACAGGTCAAAGAACAACCTGAATTCCTGGCCTGAAATTCGATTTCATGTAAACAATGGCAGCCTCAAGTCTACAAAATTGTGGATAATAGTTTATACAATAGAATGATACAGAAGTGGTGACTAAAATGCAACAACTGCCCACATCCTCTTCCAATGCTGTAAGGAAATGTTATGCTTTTGTGAGTTTAGAAAATTTAGGGGCTGGCCCCGTGGCCGAGTGGTTAAGTTCATGCGCTCTGCTTCGGTGGCCCAGGGTTTCGCTGGTTCGGATCCTGGGCACGGACATGGCACCACTCATCAGGCCATGTTGAGGTGGCGTCCCACATGCCACAACTAGAAGGACCCACAGCTAGAAGATACAACTATGGACTGGGGGTTTTGGGGAGAAAAAGCAGGAAAAAAAAAAAGAAGACTGGCGACAGTTGTTAGCTCAGGCGCCAATCTTTAAAAAAAAAAAAAAGAAAGAAAATTTAAGGCATAGCCAGAGTATCTGGAATTCCTACTGACTTTAGAAGCCATGGTACTACAGGAGGCTGTGGCAAGACAAAGGCAGTAAATTGATATGGATGTGTCCCACATGTCAACCCTGCTCAAGTCTACTGCGCAACTCAAAAACAGCTGTCCTGGTCACTGTATGCACTACCATTAATTAAGAGAAAAAGACATTTATTTGAAAAATAAAGTGATCAAAATCCCACAGTGGAGACTATTCCATTTTTTTTGTAACTGTCCCAAGTACTTCCTCTTTGAGGACTAAAGAACAGATGGAGACCATGCCAGCATTCCGGTTTATACTAATAGCCAAATACAAAAGAAAAGCAGTAAATGTCCCCAAGAGACTGCTTCCTTCTCAGAAGAGTATTCCTGGCAGAGCAATATCAAACACACAAAATACAACAGGAAACAAGTGAATAAAGCAGAAAACATGAATCTTACCCACAATTGGCCATTTTACATTTGAATAATTATCTGGAAAAAGGATAATATCAAATGAATGGTTAGTGGGTGGATGATGACTCTTCCCCAATCAGAATGCAGTGGACAGGGAATTGACATCATAGTCACATCAATGGCATCTACTACATTATAACTCCATGAACTCAGTGGCAGAAAAATTCACTTGAAGAATGGTAAATGTAGCTTCGCTTGCTCGATGTGTTTGGACAGATGAAACATTGGGATCCCACACCCAGTCTTGTCAGTTCTGCTTTTAAGTGGCATTGACCCAGGGCTGCCGCCCCTGGAGCCCAGCACACAGCCTGCAGAAGTGTCTGTGGCTTGGGATAGATCAGAGATAAGAATCAACAGCCAGTGGACCAATCAGGCACATAGCTTGTGCTTTATTAACTTGAGCCAATGCTTAAAAATAAGTAGGTTTCAGATGAAAATGGGCATTTCCATCTTATTCTCAAAATTCAGAAGACCTGGCAACATTGGGCCTGCGTTCTCAAGAGGCAACAATGGGATGAAGCTAGAAAGCAACTGTCCCCTTTTGACAGGGCATGTACTCTCCTTCTTATACCTGTTGTGGATTGAACTGTGCCCCCTTCCCCCTAATTCAGATGTTGAAGCTCTAATCTCCAATATAATTGTATTTGGAGATGAGGCCTTTATGGAGGTAATTAAGATTAAATGAGGTCATAAGGGTCGGGCCCTAACTCCATCTCTCCTTCCTCCCCCTGTGCACACTTGCACAGAGGAAAGGCCATGTGGGGTCAGAGCAAGAAGGCGGCTGCCTGCAAGCCAGGAAGAGAGGTCTCACCAGAAACCAATCCTGCTGGACCTTGATCTTGGACTTCCAGCCTCCAGAACTGTGAGAAAATAAATGTGTGTTGTTTAAGCCTGTTAAGTCTGTGGCATTTTGTTCTGGCAGCTCAAGGTGACTAATGCACAGCTCATGCTCCAGATGTGAGCTATCTGAGAATTCCTCCCTGTGGTGCGTCCTCCACATCTGTCATCTGACCACTTCTCCAAGCACATTCCCTCCCCATTCCCACTACACTGCTCTAGTTCCAACTCCACGATCCCATCTGGATCTGCTGGTTTCTAACTGGAACGTTCATCTCATCTCCACCCCACCTCTGCACCTCCTTAAAATTCAGCCACTCCATGCCTGAAAGAATGCTCCATCTGAAAATTAAAATGGGGCCCTATCACTTTTGCTATTAATCTCGCATTGTCATGGTGGCTCCCAGACTCTTGTGCTCTTAGCACTGTGTGGGGTACCATGGCCTGCACAGGAAACAAAGCTCAGGTCATTGGGATGGACCCATGGGGGAGTCAGAGGACATCAAGGCCGCCATGAAGCTCTGCAGGCTGTAACAAAGTGCTATATGAGAGGTGCAAATAGAATTCAATACGGGCACAAGGGAGTTAAATGTTTATTCCCACCAGAGGACTCTGGGCAGGTCTCCTGAGAAGACATCATCGTGGAGATGGGACTAGCCTCCAGCTAGTGGGCATGGAGTAAGGGAGGGCCCAGAAGCGATGTGTCCTTCCTGAGCCTGCCAGTTCTCTGCCCCCAATGCCAGGCCCTCAGTGCACATTTCCAGAATAAATAAATGATAAGGTCAGTGAGCAAGATAAATGGCTATTAAACACAATGGCAGCAGAAGCAAGCATTTGAGGATATTAATGGTCAGTAAATCATGCTTCTGATTCAAAGCTTTCTAGCTTAATCCATTCTAAATCCTAGCAAAACCAAGAACCTTTCTGTGTTTAATTCAAATCTACACAAAATCCGATAAACAATGTCAACTGATATAACGATATGTGTTTTACCGTTGGTATCATTGGGTGGAAGATACAATACGCCTTCCCCCTAAAGTGTGAGTCTCTGATTCAATGTTATTTCAGATATGATGCTGATCTACAAGCTATATTAGGCTATGAAAAAACGTCTGAAGAGGACATTCAACATGTGGTACCAGAAGCCGGTTCTTTAGAGCCCATCATTCCGTTTAGATCTGATCTTCCAGTTCCCTTCACAGAATCCTAAGTTTATTAATGTTTAGATATATCAAGCATGTTCTGCTTCACATATCGGTTGTTTTTCAATATTTCTGTTCAGCCACACAATCACATTAAAACAACATTACACTGCCAGAACTCTAGACCTTATTTATTTTATTCTTCACTTATTTCTTGACACCACAATCCTCTCCTTTTTGAGTTACTTTAATCTGATACATTAAAAAAACTTTGGCTGGAGTAATTTCTAATTAATTTCTTTCAAGAAAAATAAGTGAATGGGGTATACGTCAGGCGCTTGTATATCTGACAATCTGTTTTACCCTCACACACAATGGTTTCACAAGGTATGAAATTGCAGTATTACAATTCTGTATTTTCAGACTTCTGGAAACACTGCTCTGTCATCTTCTAGAAGTTAGCACTGCAGGCGAGAACGCTGCTCATGATTCAGTCCTCTTCTGTTTTCAGGTAACCTGTTTATTTTTTTTTCTTTGTTTCTCCCCCCAAATTTTCCTTTATCTCAGAATTCAGATATTTCACCAGGATACAGCAGCTAGGTTTGTGTTGTTTTAATTATACATTCTTGCCGTGGGTGAGCTCTTTCAAACTGAAAACCTAATTGCTCTATAGAGTTTAAATAAAAGTCACATTCATTTATAAGCAGGTATCTTACTCAAATCATGGAATAGGTTATTTCCTAATGCATAGCAGAGCACAGAACTGAACAACTATTCTTCCTTATTTCACAAAATTTGGGTCAAAGGCCCACATCCTAAACACAAATTTTTTTTTTTGCCTTAAAATTTAAAAAGCAACAAGTAGCATCAGGAATTCATGCTTATTTTCTTTGATTCTACAGTAGAGTGCATAGAAAATGTCTTCCGGTTGTTAACTTGTAGAAGCACTGTTATGCTTTGTACAGCCAAAGCTCTGAGAAAATACCAGCAAACCATGTGGCTTATTACTTTAAAACGCTGGTGATTTTGCGCTCTCCTTCCTGCACGCAGTCAGCACAGCGAACAGCTCTAGGGAGCTTGCCAGCCATTCTTGCTTCAGAAAAAGGAGCACGCATTCTGAGAGCCCCAGGGTAAACTCAGTGAAACAGAAGTGCCGTATCCTCAGCTGCTGAAGTTGTTTCTCAAGAGAACAAGCCACACCTACGAATAACTCTGCTATTATTCTGTGATTAGAATAAAAGCTTTGTGGTCCAGCTGAAAGACCGTATAAATTTCCTCTCATTTGTGTTCTTAAAACAAAGGGCAGCACGACACTACTGTTGCAGGAAATGAGATGCTCGAGTTAGCCATCCCTGTGGATTATGTACTATGGAAATAAATCAATTGAGGGGGAAAAATTCCCAGAAAAGCTCATTAATTAGTAATAAATGTGCAACTGGCCCAAATCACAAGGTGTGGAAAAGAGCGAAATCACCTGGTAGTGTGTTTTCGGCCAAATCGCCGAAGTAAATACTGTCGGGTTAAAATCATTCCACTGAGGATGTAAGCCTGACAAGCCGCGCTGGGTCACGTCCGCGGCCGTCGCCCCCCGTGCGAGCACCAGGGGCCCTCAGCCTGGGGACGGCCCGCAGAGAAGGGCGCGGCGCGCGGGGCCCCGCTCGGGGCTCGCGCGCGGGGCGGGGACGCGCCGACGGCACCTACCCAGCAGCAGGAGCCGGTGCGTCTGCTGCAGGTCCCGCTTCTGCTCGCGCAGCATGCGGTCGATGCTCCTGCTCACTTTCCGCGCCTCCCGCTCGGCCTCGCGCTCTTCGGCGCGCAGCTGCTCCGGACGCCGCCGACTCTCCTTCTTCGGGTCGGCTTTGGGCCGCGTGCACGCCGGGCTCCCGCCGGCGCCCCGAGGGAGCAGGGGCCCGGCCGCCGGAGCCGGGGCCGGAGCTGGGCAGGGCTGCGCGCCCTCCACGGGCGCTTCCGAGGCCGCGCGGGGGGCGTCCTCCGGGCCCCCGAAGAGCAGCGGCCGCAGACTGTAGCACAGACCCATGTGGGCTCGGCGCGGGCGCGGGGGGCGCGGCGGGACGCGGGACGGGCCGGGCGCCGGGCTCAGGCCGGGGCCCCGGCGGAGGGGCAGGAGGCTGCCCCGTGCTCCGGCGCGGCGCGACCGCCCGCAGGCTGCGGGGCGCGGGTGCGGCGGGCCCCGGCCGAGGCCCACCTCTCACTGGCCCGGAGGGCCATTTTGCATTTTCCGCTGGGTGCAGGGGGTGGCGGCCGCTTGGTCTGGAGATCACCTGATAACGCGGAGAGCCGGCCGCGCCGACGGGCCTCCGCCTGCCCAGCCCCCCTTACCGTAAATACCGCCGCCCAAGCCGGCACTCACTACCGTAAATACCGCCTCCAGGGCTGGCTTCCGTTACCGTAAATACCGCAGCCTTGGCTGGTCCCCGCTACTGTAAATACTGGCTCCTGGTCCAGCTCTAGTTACCGTAAATATCGCCTCTTGGGTCGAAGCCCAAGACGGTAGACACGGCCGCGCGTGCGGGTCTTTGATACCGTAAATACCACTGCCAGAGCCCGGGGCGCAGCTGCGGCCAGTGCCGCAGTGGCGGTAGCAGTGCCGTCGCCACCCAGTGATGCCATTGCAACACTTAAAAAACCACCATGGCTTTGATCTTGGACAGTGGTAAATAAGAAAGGAAAGCCGAGTGAAGGGCTAGAGATACTAGCTTTAAGATTTTGAATTCCCGAATGTACATCTGCAGAGATCTCTGCGCCTTGCTGCTCCTTTTTCTGCTCACTTACATCTTACACACACGTACATACGTCCACACACTTTTGATCCTGACCTTAATACTATTATACCTTTGATCTCAACAAAATCTCCAAATCGGGAGGTCCATGACATCATTTTCAACAATTCCACACGTTAAAAAATTGAAAACGAACACAAATAATTATTATATACTATTTATATTTACAAGACGAGAATATGAAATTGCACACTGTATCCTATTTTTAATCCACAATATAGCGCAGAGAGGAACAAAGGTGTATTCAGACTGAGTGCCCTCTCTCCAGGCTTCCTATTGGCTACCAACCCACCAGAAAGCCCCACTTTCTTGGTTGGTTCCCACTTAACATCCATCATCATAGAGCTTTAGCAACAGATGAAAATTTCAACATAGCTTTTAAGAAATCTGCTATAACACATGTTCCTTAATTTGAAGCAAAATGACATGGAATATTATAACAGATAGATGAATATATCTAACATAAATCCCATTCATACAGCAGATTGGGCTGTTTAATGCAACACAGCACAGAACAGTGTACACTTTACCACTTGGCACTTGGTGTAAACATTACACTAGATTAAATTTTTAAATAAAGAAGTTGGAGAGTCATAATTCACATTTATTTTAGAGCCGTGTTAACAACAAATGCATCCACCATGCAATGTTTTGGACCTAACTCTCTCCCAAAATTGTTGCCAACATTATGCTGTGCTTTCTATCTTTGAGTAGTAGAAAAAAGGAGGACTATAGAAAATCTAACTTGGGAAAACAGAAAAAGTTACTAAATATCACTGTCATTTCCACATTCGTTCATTCACCCATCCTCCATTTATCCATTCATTTATGTAATATTTATCAACCACCTACAATGTGCTATTTGGTTGGTATTGGGTGAGGCAAAAGACATTGGTCCTTGTGGAGTTTATACACTAGTGAGGTAGAAATATGTCCAATCATATAAACACGTCAATATATTTATTATATATTGCAAATTACCCAGGTGCCGTGAAGAGAAAAAATAGGGTTTCTGAGAAATAATAAGGAAAGGTCCAGTTTCCACTGAGACCCGAGGGACCCATACCAATTCCTTTTCTGTTATAACTTATTAGCTAAACTTTATCAACTAGCATCATATGAGGTGGATAACATTTTGTTTATATATTGAATCCAGCTGGAAATAGAAACATAGTGTGGAATTTTTAAGTACATAAATTAAAGTGTATCTAAATGAGAATTCACTCACATTTAGGAATTTACTTAGAAGAAGAAATAGAAGACAATGTTCTCTGTTGGTACCCTACATAATAAACTAAAAAAAACTCTTAAAATCCTATTAAAAGAATTCTAGGGAAAAAAATGCTCTGACCGTTTGCCCACATTTCAGTTTCTTTCAAACACTTTTAATTACATACCTATTATTAAAAAATTGGATTATGTGGTATAGCCATAGGATAAGTTAGAATAAAATATTTAATATTTATATATCACTGTTAGTTAAATTTAAAATTTTCTCTTTACTCAAGAATGATTTTTGGGGCGGGCCTGGTGGCGCAGTGGTGAAGTGTGCACGTTCTGCTTTGGCGGCTTGGGGTTCGCCGGTTCGGATCCCGGGTGCGGACATGGCACCACTCGGCAAAAAAGCCATGCTGTGGTAGGCACCCCACATACAAAGTAGAGGAAGATGGGAACGGATGTTAGCTCAGGGCCAGTCTTCCTCAGCAAAAAGAGGAGGATTGGCAGCAGTTAGCTCATGGCTAAAACTTCCTCAAAAAAAAATAAAGAGTGATTTTTAATTTCCAAATTGTTGGGTCATATAACTAAGCAATTTCTAATGTCAAAGAATGATTATGAATCTGAACATAAAAATCATGAAGAGATTCTAAACTGTAAAATTATAACATGTTAATTCAAGGTGTAATTTTATATTTAATCTTAACTGCTGCCAATGCAACTGTTTCATTCTGAATCCATCTTCCTCTGAACTTCCTTTCTAAGAGCAAACAGAATTATGACACAGTGAAAGTTTATGTCTAAGGTCTTTGTATGGAAACCTTGCTTAATTGATGAAAGTGGCACTTTATTATTGCACATTTGGGCACATTTTGACACTGTTCCATTGGAAACTTAAGTAAAATTATAGAAAGGCATTAAGACCAATTTGGCTTCTTCCTCCACAAAATTGGAGCTATAGGTGATTACTAAGATATGGAGTCACAGAGGATTTATCAAATAACGATACATCCTCAAGACTGCAATAATAATATAGCTATTAAAAATGAAGAAGGAGGGCTGATTTCCATCATGCTGGATTTCTCAACTTTGGCACTATTGACCTTGGAGGCTGGATAATTTGTTTTGGCCGGGGTCTGTCCTGTGTGTTGCAGGATGTTTACCAGCATCCTTGGCCTCCAGCCAGTAGATGCCAGTAGCACCCTTCCTCAAAGGTGACAAGAGAAAAATGTCTCCAGGTATGTCAAATGTCCCCTTAGGCAAAATTGCCCCCAATTGAGAACCATGGCGGCAATAGATTGGCAGAGTAGCTCGGTTGGACTGATCAATTTAAAAATCTGATGTTTTTATTTCCTATTTGAACGCACTTGAGAGCAACCAGAGTGAGTCTACCCTTGAAAGATAAGTACAATGGATAAGATTCGTGAGTTTATGGCTTTTTGCCTGAGAACATTCCCTAATCTGCAATCAGTGGGCAGCATAAAGCCACAGTATTACTGGCAAGACTGGCTACATAATTTGTGGGGCCCAGTGCAAAGGAAAATCCTAGCCCCTTGTCAAAAAATTAAGAATTTCAAGACAAAGATAGCAGAATGTTAAACGAGGCATGGGTCCCTGTGCGACTTTGCAGCTCACATGCCATGAAGCTCGCCCTGCTTACTGGCTTGAGATGTCAGAGAATAGAATTTGGAGCTGGAGGAACAGCCAGAAAGTTAGCAGTGAAATCCAGAAGGGAGGGAAGTTTAGAAGTGTAAGCCCCATAAATCTGTGTATAAAACCTAGTCAAATGTTTGGCTGACTACTAAACAAGAATGTATGGGGAAGACCCTGGTAGCCCGACAAAAACACCTAAAAAAGTTAAAAGAATAGAGCAAAGATTTCAGGGTTTTCTCCCTTCAGAAGAGACATAGTTTGAGTCCAGCCAAGTTAACGGGTTTATAGAACAAAACAAAACAAAATAAAAATCACTCAGAGAAATGTAACAGAAAATAAAGTCTCTACAACATATAGTTCATAATGTTCAGTGTCCAATAAAAAATTATTAGACATGCACAGAGACAGGAAAATGTGACCCATAGATAAGAAAAAAAGCAATTATATAAATTGATGCCCAGATGAACCAGATGTAACAATTAGCAGACAAGGACTTTAAAGCAGCTATTACAAATAGGCTCAAAGATTTAAAAGAAGATGTACACATAATGAATGAACAGAATCTCAGCAGAGAAATTGAAACTGTAAAAGAGAAGCAAATGGAATTAATAAAACTGAAAAGTACAATAACTGAAATATAAAATTCACTGCATGTGCTTAATAGTATGCTGAAGATAGAAGAACAAATTGATGGATTTAAAAATAGAGCAATAGAAATGACCCAATCTGAAGAAGAGAGAGAAAAAAAAACAATTGAAGGAAAATGGACAGGTTCTCAGAGGCCTGTTGATCAATATTATCTGATCTAAAATTACTGTAATTAGAGCCTTAGAAAGAGATTAGAAAGAAAATGGGGTAGAAGTAATATTTGAAGAAATAGTGGCCTCAAATTTCTGAAATTTGATGAAAGACATTACCTTACAGATCCAAGAAATGCAATGAACGACAGGCAGGATTAATACACAGAAAAACATGCATGGGCACATATATAAAACTACTGAACTTCAAATATGAAGAGAAAATTGTAAAAGTAACCAAAGAAAAAAGAGACATTATGCACAGAAAGCAACATGTGAAGAATGTTGTCTTTTCATCAGAAACAAGAGAGGCTAAAAAGCCACAGAACAACACAGCTGAAGTGCTGAAATACAGAAAAAAGCTATCAACCCAGAATTTTATATCTTGTAAAGCTATATTTCAAGTATAAAGGTGAAAAAAATAAAGCTTAGAGAAAATATGAGAGAATTGGGCATCAGCTGACCTTCACTATGAAAAATGCTAAATGAAACTCTTCAGGCTGAAGGGGTATGACATCAGATGGTAACTCAGATCTAGAGAAAAAATAAAGATCAGCAGAAATGGTAAAGATGTGGGTAAATATAAA